TAAGTGTGCCCTTGGCCAGGATCCTTCCACTCTCTAGGTCGGGATTTCTTTGTGAGGTACCTGCCCTCCATCTGAGATTCAAGTTGCCGAGCCCCTCCCCTAGCGAGCCACAGATGTATAGGCCTGTGTCTGGGGTAGTCCCTTCTTTGAGAGGCCTCAGGCTCTGGCCAAGCTGTGGGTGGCTGGGGGTGGAGGCAGGGGTGTTGCTGGGGCAACCAGGCGTTATCAAGAGTGAGAGCCTTGATCTGGCTGGCGAGTTTGCAGCTGTGACCCTGACTCTCAGCTGTGGGCTTGGGACCTTGAGGAGCTGATGTGCTCCCATCCCTGACTTAGGAGGAGCTCAGCCCTTTGTTTCCCTGGTTAGAGGGAAGCTGAGGACCAGTTTTGGAGCCAGGCAGAGCTTGGGAAGTCACCTAGCTCTCTGAGCTGCACAGGTCAATGATCAATTACCAGGTGAGTATCTTTGGTCACCTGCCTTGAAGGGCTGTTGCTGTAAGATCCATGAGGGCAGAGACTGTTTGCCTCCCCCCAGCACCTGGCATGGTGCCTGGCATGAATTAATCACCCTGCAAGTGTTGGTCTACTGCTCTTTTCTGGTTGAGTGGGACGAGTAAGAAGGGTGGATGGGTCTGGCTTAAGAGAAAGGGAAGAAAAAAGTATGTGGTCAAGAAAACGTGAATTGCCTTGACTGGTGTGGCTCAGTTCGTTGGTGTCAGTTCGATTCCTGGTCAGGGCCTATGCTTGGGTTGTGGGTTTGGTCCCTGGTCAGGGCACGTGCAAGAGGCAACTAACTTACTGATGTTTTCCTCACATCAGTATTTCTCTCCCTCTCTTTCTTCCTCCCTTTCCCTGTCTCTAAATAAATAAAACCTTAAAAAAGAGAGAGAGAAAGGGGGAGAGAGAGAGAGAGAGAGAGAAAAGAAACCTCGAATTTAGGAGGGTGGTGTCCCTCGGCCCTTCCGCAGAGGGGAGATCAGGTTGACACAGCGGACAGAGGATGGCTTTTGGGTTCAAGCTAACCTGTCCTGAGCACAAAAACTACCCTGCCATTTACCAGCTTTGCAGTGCTTGCCCTCTCCGACCTCCATTTCCTCATCTGTAATATGGGGATTAAAGTGCCAACTTCTTAGGATTATTTATCCAGCGGTTCGTAGATAAATGTACTGTCCAGCTCTGTAGAAGTTTGCTTCCCAGGGAGTCAGGGCTCAGCCGTGTGCTTGACTGGTCTCTGAGAGGTGGGGCACAAAGGGGTCCTGCAGCATGGGAGCCCCTGTGAATTCTTCAATCCCTAGGGACTCTGCTGAGAGAAGGGCGCTATGAGACAGCTGTCCTCAGGCAAGTTTGGGTGTGCGGCACTTTATAGTTCCCAGGCTTTCTCTTTCACAGTCTCTGTTACACCTTTTGGAGTTGCTGGTGGGGGGCGGGTGTCTGTCAACACGGCCATTCCCCAGCTTATCCGTCATTCCTACAGACCAACTTCCTGGGGGAAATTGAGGCTCTGCCAAGGCCTGTGGGGCCCTACCAATCGGGCGCTTGCCCTCCCCTCTTACCTCCCACCGTTCTCTCCCTGGCTCACCATGTTCCAGCCACACTGGCCTCTGTTCTGGGAAACCTACCACTCCTGCCTCCAGGTCTTTATACTTGCCGATGCCCCCGTCTAGAAGGCTCTGTGCTTTTGTTGGCTGGCTTCTCATTCTTCAGGTCTCAGTTCCAATGTTCTTTCCTTGGAGAGGCTTTCCTTGATGTCCCTTGAAGGCACGCCCTTCCTGTCACAGCTCTTCTGTCTTCACTCTCTAAAATTATATTGTTAGTTTATCTCATTCATGTATTCATCAAATATTTACTGAGCTCACAGTATGTACGGGGCTCTGATTTAGGCACTGGGGATATACTGGTGAACAGGATAAAGTTTTCCATTGGGTATAGCCCCTAGTACTAGCTTAATAAATATTTGCTGATCCAATGAATGGATACAGTAGTCTTATAAAGAGGGGTTATTGGCACCTTCCTACAGGAGGTCACGACTTGTGTGTGATGGAGCTGGGTCCGAACCTGGACCTGACTTCTTTCCAAGTGCTGCTCCCCTTGCTGCCCTCACCTATGAGCTGTTTGTTGGCTAATTCTGTTCTCCCCGCCTGGGGATCCGGCAGAGCCACCAAGTCACAGACTGAAGCCAGCGGGAAGAATCCTGGGCTCCTGGCTGGAGGAGCAGGAGGTCTGCATTGAAGGCCTGTCTCTGCTCTGTGAGCTCGGAGAGCCCAGTGCTTCTCTGGGCTGCCAGTGCCGCATTACCTCAGTGGGAAGGAAGTCCTTTGGAAACTGTGGGGCTGAACATTCACATGAGGGCTACCACCAGCCATTGTGATTCCACTCTGGGCATCTCTCTGGCTTCCCAGTGCTGTTCCCTGGGCTGGCTCCACCTCTGCAGGGGCCTCTCCATGGATGGCCTGGCTGTCTCCTCGGGGGCCATCCCCACAGACGTTCAGGTCTTCTGCCTGGCTGCTCCACACTCTGAATTCCTTCCCCAGGGAATTACCCTCACCCGCCAGGAGGGCCTGGGGTGGGCACCATGCCAAGTGTAGTGTGGTGGCTCTTCTACCTACCATCTGGCAACTGGAAGCCCTGCCTTAGCTTTGGCTTCTGACTGTTTAGAAAAGGACTTGGGGATGGGGTTCGTGGTCTAGCCCTGGAACCGAGTATCTTCAGCTCTCCTAGTCATACTGCCCACCAAAGCCCAACACCCACAGGGCCTCGCCCCCCACTCCCCTCTTCCCTGTGAGCTTGAGAGGGCTCCTGCCCCTGCACTTTACTGGAGGGGCGGGGCCGATGGGGGGCGGGGCCAGTGGCCAAAGTGGGAGGAGGACCTGGGGAGCAGTCCTTGCCCCTCCCCTGCCCGATCGGGAGCTGTGCAGCTGGGCGGGCCGCGGTGGACTGCATCCCTTAGTGCTGGGTTGTGAGGAAGGCGTTGCCTCGGCCGGCCAGCCGGTGTTCTGGAGAGGTTGGGTAGGGACCGACTGAGTGGCGCCCGCCGTCATGGTGGTGTTCCTGGGTCGTCACCTCCCGGCGCTTCTCGGGCTCTTTAAGAAGAAGGGTGAGTGGATGTGGCTGGGTGGGGGGGAACAGGGATCCCTGACCCCTCCATTTGCCAGACCTTGATATAGAATGGGGTGCTCAAGGCCGAGGAAGGGTAATGGATGGGGGATGGGGTCCAGCATCGAGGCCAGACTCCGCTGTTCGCTGCCATGCCTTTGTCCAGCAGCTTTGCTGCTGCCTTTGTCTGGCCCTGCTTGTGTTTGGGAGGGTGGATCCAGGTGTCTCTGACCTTGAAGCCTGCAGCCCTGGGGCGAGACTGCCTCCAAGGAGTACCCACACTTTATTGGGTACATCCCAATACCTCAGTTCCAAGAGGAAGGGCACCCCCTCCTGGGTCAGTGTGTCTGGGAGGAAGGAATGCGGGAGCAGAGTAGAGGGGAAAGCAGATCCGCTGGAAGTTGGGGGCATGATCAGGGGAATTCTGTTTAGAGGCCTGGGGGACAGTTGAAGGTTTGGAGGGGGGGACCTATGCCCACTTTTCCCAGGAACTGGACATTCAGGCTTGGATTAAGATGTGGGGGCCAGAGGGTCCCCAGTTACAGTGTGACCAGGGATTCCCTCTGGGAACTTGAAATTTAGTCCTGTAGTTTAGTTTGCCTCTGATTTGTTGGGTGACCTTAGGCAAGACCTTTCCTCTTTGAGCCTTTTTCCCGATTTATAAAATTGGGATTGGGACTAGGCTAAAAGATCATTGAGAGACCTCCTAGCTCCGGCTCTGTGGGACTCCTGCTGATTCCCTGGGCTGCAGCTGGCTGGGAGGGAGGACAGGGCAGGTGTCCCAACGAAAGACCCCGATTCTTGGGTGTGGCCCTTTAAAGGGCTTGTTTTGTTCTTGCTCCTCTACAAGGTGCTGCCAAGGTCACATGACCCTCCAGTGCTTTTGCTTGTGTTGTGGGTTCCATTTAAGGGGGCTGGGGCTGCAAAGTGCTGACACAGTCCCCCATTCCCAGGATTAGATGACCAACTTCCCAATGGGCAGGGCCTGTAACAGGATCATTTGTAATGGATCCCTGGCTCCTCTGTGTGTGTGTTGGTGGAGGGAGGGGTGCTTCAGGACGGGGAACACCTGGGACTGATCTCCCAAGAGAGTCTGGAGCTTCCTTTTCCTGGGGGTGTGGGGGCCTGGGTCCCTTTTCTCCCCTACCTTGGTTATTCTTCCACTAAAGGACAGCCACATGGGTGAGTAGGGGACCCAAGAGGCCATATCACTGCTTTGTCCCTCCTCCCCAAGACTTCTTGGTAACCTGGTTATGACCCCTGCTAGCCCCCACCTCTTGCTAGTGTCCCCTGGTCTCTTCTATCTGGACCCTGGTGAAGGTGTGTATGAAAAGGGTGGATGTTTTTGTTTTTGTTCTTTCTTCCTGTAAAGTGAAGCTTGGGGTCTGGAGATCAGAGAAATGTACTTGCAATGGGCTATATGTGGACTTGGTGTCGTGCATGGGGCCCTGAGTGACGTGTGGATACGTAGTTGTATGTTTGCGTATTGTTTGTATATGTATAGAATGGAGACTGTGGATGTTATGTGTATACGTGGGAGCTGGGTGTGTTCTGTCGGGGCCCCTTGTGTGCAGCGTGTATACACAGATATGTTTATACTTGGGTGCTTTGTTTGTGCACAGACTGAAACCTCTGGGTGTTATGTGCACATACGGTGGGCTTCTGTGCCCTGGGTGTGGTGTCCTGTCTGGGGCCTTTTGTGTGGTGTGGGTACTGAGATCTATATATGCTTGGATATAGTTTGTACATGTACATGGGACTGTGTGTACAGACTGCAGAGTGGGCATTTCATGTATGTGCAGGAGCCGTGTACAGCCTGGAGACTGTGAGTGCCCTTGTTGGGGCGCCGGTGGAGCCTGAGAGCCCAGATGCCTTTGGGCTTCACTTCTCTTCCTCTTTTGTCCCACTAGGCTCAGCCAAGACTGAGAGTGACAAACGTGTAAGTGCAGGGCCCGGCCAGGGGCCCGGGTCTGTAGTGGATGAGCACCAGGACAATGTCTTCTTCCCCAGTGGGCGACTGCCTCACCTGGAAGAGCTGCACACGCAGGCCCAGGAGGGGCTCCGTTCCCTACAGCACCAAGGTAACCCGGCCCTCCCTTCCAGTGCTCCTCTCGGCTCCCTCCCGAGGTGAGAGGCCTAGCCCAACACCCCTTTCTGCTATCTTCCAGAAAAACAGAAACTGAACAAAGGTGGCTGGGACCGGGGAGACACCCAGAGCCTCCAGGTGAGCCCTGGCCCCCAGCTCAGTCTGACTCTACTTTTCCCTCTCTGCTTGATCTCTGGCAAGTATGTCTCCAAACCCTTTTGGATCTGTGTTTCTTTCCTGTACCACGAAGTGTCTACTCAGTGCTAGGTGATGCTGGGGACAATCTGAGTCAGAAATTCTAAGGGGGAGCCCTGTAGAGGCAACAGTGAGCCCCACCCGGGCCTCTGGGGGTGGTCCTTGTCTGAGGCCGGGGCCTGATCTCCTTTTTTCTTCAACAGTCCTCCAGGACGGGGCCAGATGAAGATAGCATCTCCTTCTGCAGCCAGACCACATCCTACATGGCTGAGAGCTCCACGGCAGAGGACGCTCTCTCCATCCGCTCCGAGATGATCCAGCGCAAAGGTGTCTGCTCACTAGCTGGGATTCTGGGACAGGGTAGAGGGGTGGTGGGCACCATGTGGGTCCCTGCACCTGCAGCATCCTTCCCGCTTTCCTCCTAATCTGCTGTTTCCCACGGCTCTGTGATTCAGTGAATTCAAGAAACAGAGTACCTTTTGTGCTCTTGGGCTCAGGATGTACATTAACTGCAGAGCAGGACAGTTAAGAGTTGGGCTTGAGCCTGATATTGCTACTTACTTGCCCTGTAACCTTGGGCCAACTCTTAACCTCTCTGAGCTTCTGTTTGATGTTCTATAAAAATGAAGACAAGAGTACTTATATTATTGGAACAACTACCAAGTGTTTAGCATGCTAACACATAATAAGTAGTCACTAAATGGAAATGATCATTATTGACCTAGTAGATGGGAAAGCCTTCCAGAAGTTTTACAGAAGTGTATAGTTTTGTTTACCCTAGCTTTGCCCATGCCCACTTGACTATGGAACTTTTTTCCCACAGGGTTGTTAATATTCTCCAGAATGTCCTGAGACCTGCTCTAATGGTTTCTCTCCCCTGTACTGGCCCCCAGGCTCCACCTTTCGACCCCATGACTCATTTTCCAAATCATCGGGGAAGTCAGGGCGGCGGCGGCGGGAACGGCGCAGCACAGTGCTGGGCCTGCCACAGCACGTGCAGAAGGAACTCGGTGAGCCCTGGGTTAGAGGGGCAGCGGTGGTGGGTGGGGAGCCGGGGGCAACCCATCTGTTGACTCCCAAGTCCTTCCTGTCCATTTCAGGCCTGCGGAATGAGCGCGAAGCTCCAGGTACTCCTCGGCCTCCGGGGCCCCGGGATGCTGTCCGAATCCCCACGGTGGACGGCCGTCCAGCGGGTCTGGCCTCAGGAGCAGGGGTCCGGGTGTCCCTGCAGGCGCTGGAGGCAGAGGCGGAGGCTGGGCCCAAGGCAGAAGCCATACTGCAGCGCCACATCGACCGCATCTATCGGGATGACACCTTTGTTGGCCGGTCCACAGGGGCTCAGCCTCCGTCGATTATCCGGCCCATGTCCCTAGCGGTTCCCGGATTGACAGGAGGGGCCGGGCCTCCAGAGCCTCTGAGCCCGGCCATGTCTATCTCACCCCAGGCCACCTACTTGTCAAAACTGATCCCACATGCTGTACTGCCGCCCACAGTGGATGTGGTGGCCCTGGGCCGCTGCAGTCTGCGCACGCTGAGCCGCTGTAGCCTGCTCTCGGCCAGCCCAGCCTCCGTCCGCTCCCTGAGCCGCTTCTCCTCGGCCTCCAGCCCACAGCCCCGCAGCCGCCACCCATCCTCCTCCAGTGACACCTGGAGCCACTCTCAGTCTTCCGACACCATCGTGTCTGACGGCTCCACCCTATCCTCTAAGGGTGGCTCTGAGGGCCGGCCAGAGGGCTCTGTAGCTAGCAGTAGTGTGGCACCCCCTCCCCAGGGGGGCAGCGGGAGGGGCTCTCCCAGCGGGGGCAGCACTGCCGAGGCCTCGGACACTGTCAGTATTCGGAGCAGTGGGCAGTTGTCCGGCCGGAGTGTGTCCCTCCGTAAGCTGAAGCGACCCCCGCCACCCCCCCGCCGGACCTACTCACTTCGTCAGCGGGGCTCAGCAGCCCCTGATGGGCCCTTGGGGTTGCCTCCCAAGCCAGAGCGGAAGCAGCAGCCCCAGCTGCCTCGGCCACCTACCACTGGTGGGTCAGAGGGGACAGGGGCAGCACCCTGTTCATCCAATGCAGCAGGCAGCTGGGTGCCAGGCTTGTCTCCAGGTGGCTCCCGGCACCTCCCACGCTCCCCAGAACGGACACTCTCACCCTCCAGTGGGTACTCGAGCCAAAGTGGTACCCCTACTCTCCCTCCCAAGGGTCTAGCTGGGGCGCCTGCTTCCCCAGGCAAGGTCCAACCCCCTAAACCAGAGCGTGTCGCTTCCCTCCGGTCTCCTGGGGCCTCCGTCTCCTCCTCCCTTACCTCTCTGTGTTCCTCCTTCTCTGACCCAGCCCCCTCAGACCGTTCTGGTCCACAGATGGCAGCCCCCCTTGGTGACAGGTTTGTCATACCTCCTCACCCCAAGGTGCTTGCCCCCTTCTCCCCACCTCCCTCCAAGCCCAAGAGTGCTACTAACCAAGCTGCCCCTGCTCTGGCTACTCCTGCCCTGGTCTCGGGGCCCATCTCTACCACTGATGCCAGTCCCGAGCCCCCTCCCACCCCCCAGACAACCCTGACCCTGCCACAGGAGTCTCCCATTGCCTCCAAAGACCAGTCACCCCCACCATCCCCACCCCCATCTTATCATCCACCCCCACCACCCACTAAGAAGCTAGAGGTTGTTGAGGAGGCCCTGTCTGCCCCAGAGACGGCTGAGGAGCCGCTCCAAGATCCCAGCTGGCCCCCACCCCCACCCCCTGCGCCCGAGGAGCAGGACCTGTCCATGGCTGACTTCCCCCCACCAGAGGAGGCCTTTTTCTCGGTGGCTGGCCCTGAGCCCGCAGGCCTGTCAGGCCCTCCAGCTCCTCTCAGCTCCCTGGCTGCCTCACCCTCAGCTGCTGTCTCTCCTCAGAGCCAGCCCCATGGTACCCCAGGCCCTGCAGCCCCACCAGCCCTACCTGATGGTTCTGTCCCAGAGCTAGCCCAGCTCCCTCGGAAGGAACCAGTGGGCTGTGGCAAGGGCAATGGGGTTCCCAGAGAGGATGCCGGTGCCCCCCTGGTCACGCCCTCACTCCTGCAGATGGTTCGGCTGCGTTCTGTGGGTGCTCCCACTGTGGCTCCAGCCCCAGCGTCGGGGCCATCAGCCCCGCAGAAGCCACTGCGCAGGGCCCTGTCAGGGCGGGCCAGTCCAGCACCTGCCTCCTCCCCGGGGCTGCATGCTGCCATCCGACTCAAGGCGTCTAGCCTGGCTGCCAGTGAGGATTCTGTGAGTGCCCAGCCCAATGGGCCACCTGACGGAGAGCCACGGTCCCCCGCCTCTATGGCCAGCTTCATCTTCTCCAAGGGCACTAAGAAGCTGCAGTTGGAGCGGCCTGTGTCCCCTGAGAACCAGGCTGACCTCCAGCGGAACCTGGTGGCTGAACTTCGGAGCATCTCAGAGCAGCGACCGCCCCAGACCTCAAAGAAGCCAACTAAGGCCCCCCCACCTGTGGCCCGCAAACCCTCTGTGGGAGTGCCCTCACCCGCCTCTCCCAGCTTTCCTCGGGCTGAGCCCCTCACTGCTCCTCCGACCAACGGGCTCCCTCATGCTGAGGGCAGGACTAAGGGGGAGCCGGCCGAGAACGGAGATGTTATGCAGCTGGTGGGCCCAGAGGAGAAGCTGGACCTGCCTGGCTCAGGTACAGTGGGCAGTGGCAGTGTGTGGGTCCCATTGCTGGTGGTAGGACTGGGTGTCTAGGTCTCACCGCTAGGGATTGCTCTTGGACTTGGGCGGTTCCAGTCTCAGGATGCCTGGGGAGGGTAAACTGTCACCCTAGAGCTGCTGTGAAGCAGCATGGTGTGTGGGTTTTTTTTTTTCTTTTAACATACTTTGTGTGCATGAGCACATGCAATTACAGTTGTCCTAATGTTTCCCCCGTTGCTCTTCCCTGCCCCACAACCCTCCCCAGTCAATCCCCACTCTGTTGTCTATTACCATGGGTCCTTTATCATGTCTGTTACCATGTTCCTTGACTAGACCTTTCCCCTCTTCCTCTTTATCCCTCTTATGTGGGGCTTTGTTATGGGAACAACTGAGTTTGAATTCCAGCGTTGCAGTTTATCTTGGGCCATCGTAGCCTTGGGCTCCTTGCTGTCAAGTGGGGACAGTGGTGTCTACTTTACAGGGTCAGAGATAATGTGTGTCTGGTGTGGTGCTGCTCACGTGGTCAGTAAATTAGGGTAACAATGTGTCTTGGACTTTCAGTGTCCAGAACTAAGGGTGGGGGGGCCTTTCCTGAGTGTTCCTTTTTTCTTTTTCCCCCCACAGACCCACAGAAAGAGCTGGTCTAACCACCAGGCACCCCACTGGCACTGCTGACCCATCCCAGGAATACAATCTCAGGGACCTGAGCAGTTCCAAGGATGAGAGGATGTGGCAGACACTTAACCTAATAGAGAGGATGCCTGCAGCCTTAACCTCCACGGCCTTCAATATTTATGCAAGCCTGGTCTTGACCCTGTCCTCCGAGTCATCCAGCTCTCATGCCTTTCCCTAATGGAGTCACCTCTGGCGGCTGCCACTTCACTCTCGGCCTTAGCCTCATCTGGAAGGAGGTAGCTGGTGGGAGCGGGTGGCTGCGCCCCCTGCTGGCCCTGAGGTCAGAGTTGGGAGAACACCTCCCTTGAGTTTCACTTTTTTTTAAACGTCCAAATCATGCACATCCTGTAGTCCAGAATCAAAGCACTTTTAAAAAGAGACTGCATGTCCATCCTCCGGGGCCCATGAAGCCACATTCCAAGGGCCTGTTTACATGGCAGCAGCATCAATCCCTGGCAGCCAGCCCATAGCTGGGACCATCGACCCCCTCCCTCTCATCCACTTCGCTCCTTTTTTAGTTCTTGGAGGTGGGCAAGTCATTGTATTCCCACAGGCTGGAGGCAGGAGCGAGGCTGTGGAATTCCAAAGCACAAAAAGGTGCAGCGAGGGTTAGCCTTCCTGTGCCTCAACTTACCACCAACCACCCTCCTGCCTTCCAGTTATGCCAGGTGCTCCGTGCAGGGAACAAGAATTGGGAGGCTGCCTGGGCCCGAATGGGTGGGGAAAGAACTAACCAGAGGGAGAAGGTCCACTGGCTCTGCCCTCAGAGAGCAGAAGAGCGTAGGGAGTCATCTTGTGGCCAAGCATTGTCCCTTGTTTTACCCGATCAGTTTGAGGGTGGGCAGGCACAGCACTTCGGGGACAGGAGCCCATGGGCTGTGGCCAAGCTGTATCCCTTTCAGCTGGGCAGAAGTACTGAGGAGGTAGATGGAGGGGAGACTCTAGCACGGGGACAGCTTATGTGGACAGTGGGCCCAGCCCTAGCCCCACAGATCCATTCTCTGACCGACCTTTCCTCGCCTCTGTTCATGGCCTTTGTGCAGCCGCCTTTCAGCACAGGTGGTTCTGTTGGGGGAGCTGACACTGACAATGGGAAGCGAAAGGTGCATCCTATTCCCGACTCTTCCTTAGTGGAGGGGGGGGCCACTCCATGCTCCAAGGGAGCAGGATGGGTGGTTGCCCCCCCCCCCGCCCCCAGAAATCAGTCTCTGCTACTTATCTGTCCTCCAGGAATTTTAATGACCTGTTTTCAGCCTGTGCCACCTATCTAGGTAAGCTGGCTTCCCCACTGGCCCCTGTGGCTCCATAGTGACTCAGGCTTGAGTCTGGCAAGGAACCTTACTATTAGCTGCCTCTCTTCCACCAAGGAGAGATCGACCTCCTCCCAGAACAAGAGCTGGGAACACGGGGTGTGGTGCGAGAGCCCAGGTTCTGCTGGCCCTCTCATGACTTCCCGTAGCTGTAAACCAATGTTCTTCCCTTGCCCTTTGGGTAATGGAGAGCTGCTGCTGGGTACGTGTTGTGCCTGCCCCCCGAGTTGGGGAAAGAAGATGGTCAATAAGCACCGCTCTGCTCAGAGCTCCTGATCCAAACCCCTGGGAACCAGGACCAGGCCAGTGCCTCCTGAAACTAGGTCCTGGCAGCAGCCTTGGAGCTGCTGGAGATGGGAGGGAGCCCACATTCTCTTTCCCTCCCTTCTCTCAATGTTACTCAAGCTCCTTTTCCTCGGTTAGAATCTTTTATTTCCCCACTGGGTGGGACAGTATGAAGAAGGGAGGATCTAGAAGCAACCCTTCTTTGTCCTCTGGGGTAAAGGAGCTTGATCTAGTGCAAATGGAGAGACCAAAAGCCTGATTTTTAATTTCCACAAAAATGTTAGAGAGAAAAGTATATATATATTTCTTTAAATTTTTGAGTCTTTGATAACAACTATATAAACAAGCCATTCACTCTGCCCTGAAGCTGTGTGTTTCAAGTGTTAATTAAATGATTAAAACTTGGCTGTGGCTGCTTAATGGGAGAGGGGCAGTGTTTGGGGCCCGTATTTAGAAGGGAAAATATCCTCGCAAGCATCGCGCCCCCCCAAAGCGGGCCTCAGCTGCTTAGCCCTGCCAAAGAGAACGTCAGGTGTCCATCCTCCATCCTCCGAGCCTGCCTCCCTCCCTCCCCCACCCCGCCCTGCCACAGGGTCAAAAGTACAAGATACAGGCGGCCCCAGGCCTGGTGAGGAGCTCAGCAGCTGCTACACACTTGTGTTCCTCTTTCCCAAGATGGTCCAGTTCACACAGGCCTCATCCAGACGCCCCTTTTCAGACATTTTATTTGAATTCATGACGCTGATGGTTAGTGATACTGATGGAGATGCCTTACAGAGAAGTAACCAACCTCTTACGAGGAAAGAACCAGGCAGTAGGGGCCCCCCTACTCCCCATGTTAACAACAGCTGGTTTAGGGATTGTCCCAACCTAGCAGAGCCAAGGGGAATTCCTCGGAGCCCTGGGGCAGACCCTGCCTCCAAAGCCAAGCCTTAGGACTGGCAGGCAGTGGCGAATGCGGCCACCCACGTGGTGGACCACTAGGTTCTCTTGTTCTCCCTCCCCTTTCCTTTTCAAATCCCACAATTTCCTGCTGGGGAGAAGCTGTAATTAACCCAGTTCAGGCACCAGATCCCAGGCAGAAGCACAGCTGCTGGGGCAGCTCTAGGAAAACCAGGAAACCAGTGTTTTTCCAATTAGAAGAACTGTGGCACAAACTTTTTTTCTGTGCGTTATATTAAAAACAGATTTCTCCAGTCAGCTGCCAGGGGAAGAAGAGCTGGACCCCTGCTGCTGCCCAGCCCTCATTACTACCTGGGAGGTCGGCCTCCCACAGTAGCTGGACTGGGATGATCCTGGATTCTGGGGCGATTGAGCGGCCTCTTACCAAGTTCTGTACCTAGTAAAGTCCCAAACTTCTTGCTTCAGTGTCCTGGGAGATGGGTAAACAGATGACAGACGGAGCAAACCGCGGAGAGAGCAGGTGACTCTGGATGATGGGTGAAGGGTGGGAGATGCCGGGTTAGCTAGCTAATGTTCCCCCCCTTCAGTGATTTACAGGAGATGTAACCCAGCTTGGTCATGAAGTTGGTTTCCTTCCACTGTGCGATGCACTCGTCAGAAATTTTAAAGTCAGCCTGGACGAGAAACAAAAACAGTGATCACAGTGACGGTGACAGGACAGCAAGAAAACAAAGGCTGTCTTACCCCCCAGCATGCAAACTGGCTCGGCCTCTGAGGGCGGTTTGCCAAAGGCTTCCTCACTCACATTTTTTTTTTTTTTTTTTAAATGTTTCACATCTTTTGACTCAGGTAAACCCAAAACATTGCTGGAGGCAAAAAACAACAAAGCTGAAGCTGTCCTACTTAGGGCACATCATGAGAAGGCAGGGTTCCTGGGAGACAGTAGTGCTGGGAGAAAGAGAAGGCAGCAGGACAGGAGGAAGCCCAAATGTGGGCTGGAGTGACTCCATAGAGGAAGCCGGAGGCCTGAGTCTCCAGGAGTCGAGCAGGGCTGTTGAGGACGGAACACTCTGGATGTCACTCATTCATAGGGTCACCAGGACTTGGGGCCAAATCAGTGGCACAGAGTTCATTTTAGGGGCCTAATTTAAGAAAATAAGTACAAAGAACTATGTACCAGGACATCCATCATGGCGTTCTAATAGTGAAAAACTGAAAACAACTTCCGTGAGGGTAAACAATTTTGTTAAATTATGATACAGTACTATACAATAAGATTCCCCCCTTGATATTTAAGAAGATAGGGAAGTTTTTTGGCATAAAGTTTAAAAACAATATGGTAAGATTCAAACTGTTAATATCTCTAGAAGTCCAGAAGAAAATCATCACTAATGACATTTTTCAGTATCTCTAGGTGGTGGGACTATGGATACTTTATTTCTTCATTTTTTCCTAAACTCTACATATACCTACACTGGAAATTTATTTTATAGCCAGGAAAAAAAAAAAGGATTGATAAAGCCATTCTAGAAAACCAGGAAAGGAGGCAGGGGACAAAGCCATTTGGCACATACAGGAGGAAATCCCTCGGAATACCCTCCAGAAAACCTCTGAGGAAACAAGTTATTAATTGGAAAAAGTCACACACGTAGAGTTAGTTCCAGAGAGGGTGAATTTTTGCTGCTGTAGTCACTGATGTAGCCCAGACACCCAGAACAACGTCTGACACATAGTAGGGACCCAGTATTTGTTGAATGCATGGATGCAGGCAGGGGTCGCGGGGACAGGTCCTGTGTGAGTCAGTGCCCCAGAGGCAGAGGAGAGAACGAGTGCTCTAAGCTCAAGGTGGGTGATGGTGACGGTGACCCCGGAAGGGTTTTGATCCTGGCTCCACCACTTCTGGTGACCCCGTGTGGTCTTGGCAGGTATCCTGCCAGGTAACACAGGATCGTCTCTGACAGGCCTTAGATCAAATGAGGAACTCTGAAATCCCCCAGGCAGTGCCTCAGGCAGCCTGTTGGTCCTCAGTACATGCGAGAGCCCCCATGCGCCCTAGGCACCTCATTCAGAAAGTTCTAGAATGAAGACAGAAGAGGGGCTTAGATGCAAAGGCCCAGCTGGGAAAAGGGCAGGTTTGGATTCAAATAATAGACACGGTCCACGCAGGCCAAGTTAAGAGAACCACCACAGCTTTTTACCTGCAACTTCTCAAAGACCTTCTTCTTGGGCTTGAGCTCTTCATCTGGTTGGCCCTTCTCATAGCCCTTCACAAACACTCGCTCACCAGGAGCAGAGCCTGCAGGAGGGTCCAAAGGCTCGACCTTGCGGCTGACCCCTTCTCTGGGAAGGCACACAGGACAAGGAAAAGGTGAGGCTCCGACTGCTTCCAGCGGCCGCGGAGGCCGCAGCATGAGAGCCCCCACACGGAGGCTCTGCTGCGAGTTAGGTCACCCTCACTGCCAGGGCCCCAAGAGGCCCTCCCTGCTATACTACGTGTCTGCACACCATCCGCTTTGCGTTAACCAGGGCTAAACTGAAGACCTATGTCAGGAGAAACCAAACTCTGGGCCCTTGGGGGAGGACGTATGACATAACAGTGAGGGCAAGGCCTTGACAGCCCACGAGAACGGGGTTTGAATCCTGGCTCCGCCTCGTCAGTGGTGAGAGGCGGGCATGCACACACTGCTTTGAACCTTCAAATGTCTTTTAACTGCAGGTAAAGCGCTTCATTCATATACTTGTACGATAAATAATTCCTTCCTGCACTATCTTTTGGCCAGTGTGCTCCGGGCTTCCCCCTGGCATGGGAGGGCCAGCACATGGGCCAGTTCCCCACTCTTGGCCTTCCTGGTCCTGTGCCCCGCCCCAAGGCCTCACTCACGTAGAAGCGCACAGAAGCATGCCTTGAGACTCGATTCCTCTCATCTTCTGCGGCTTCAGGTTGCACAGCACCACCACCAGCCTATCCTGCAGTTCCTCCTTGGGCATGAACTGCACCAGGCCGCTCACCACGGTCCGCGGCTCAGCTTCCCCCACGTCAACCTTCTCCACGTACAGGCTGTCTGCGTCGGGGTGCTGCCAGCAAGAGATGTCAGACCCAGAGCGTGTCATAGTGGAATAGATTGATGGCACCTGGTGAACCCTCATATCCGGAAAGGGGCATCTACTCCTAGAGACGCCCCTGAGGGATCCTCCAGAACTTACTCCTTCCAGGTCTCAGCGCGCAGGAGGCTGGGTCTGGACAGTACATTCTACTCCCAACCGACAGGTGGGATATAAGTAAAATGAACCTCATTACTTGTGTAAGAGGTGGAAGTGATCTCTAAGAGAGATGTAATGGCCCGGCCTATCTGGGTGGTTGCCATTACGGCCACAGCAGATCAGTCCTAGGCGCAGGAAGATGAAAAAAGACGACTGGTGCCATCATCTGAGAGCACCAGCTGCTCTCAAAGTAGTTTTGGTGGCTGGGTCTATATAGTGAAAAGCCAATCAATGCTGGGAGCAGAAAAGGCCCACAATGCCCTGACTGGCGTGGCTCAGTGGGCTGGGCATTGTCCCACAGACTGAGGGGTTGCTGGTTTGAGTCACAGTTGGGACATGTGCCTGGGCTGCAAGCCCGGTCTCCAAATGGGGGTGTGCAAGGGGCAACCAACTGATGCTTCGTTCCCTCTTTCTCCCCCTTTTCCTCTCTGAAAAGAAATAAAATCTTAAAACATTAAAAAAAAAAAAAAAGAGAAAGCCCACAACAATGGTCCCAGTCACTGGTGGCATAACTTTCTGTCCCTGAGAAAGAGTCCTTCTCCCTTCACCTCTTTGTGTGTGTGTGTGTGTGTACACACACACACACTCTGGGCGGGAGGGTCTGGGAGACAAAGCAGCTGATCCCAGATAAGGCCTGCAGCGAGTCCAGACAAGCTGGTAGAGACCAGCTGAGTCCATCTGACTAGATTTAATGGATAAACAAGCTCCCTCCAACCAACATCCGCCCCGCACTCCGAGTTCCTGGCCTTGTTTGGTTGCATAAAGTCCAAAGGCAGCAAAAGGAAAAGCCTGAGGCCTGGAATTAGACACCTGGGTTCTGACTTGCAATATGACCTCAGGGATGTTACTTCCCATCCCAGGCCAGGTTTCCACCAGATGGAAACAGACAAAACTTGACCCCTATCTGCCTCTCTGGGATGTGGTGAAAACGAGTACCTTGTCCACACTAATGACTTTTCCCACACGGATATCCAGCCGGGATGGGATGACGACCTCTGGTTCTGAATTCTTGGCAGGGCCTTTGGCAACAGGCTCTGGGAATGAGAAGAACCCCAAGGGGTCAGAACTGTCCTCCTTCCCCATGAGAGGTCAACTGCTGATCCCGCCAAATACGGACACCAGCAGGCTTTCACGCAGTCCCCAGAATCTACCCAATAATTTTACCTTCCTTTATCTAGCAATCATCTAATCCTCCTTCCTTATTTAACTTTACAGAAAAAATTTACAGAATTACATATTAGTCATGTGGGACTTTGCCGTGGAAGTAGCAAACGGAGGACCTGAAGAGGAAACACCATTAATATTAAATTT